CCAAACGAAGAGCTTTTTGCACAATATGCTTTCATTTTATGCCTGGTGAATAAGGATTATATAGAATGATCACTACGTAGAATAACCAGAACCATGTCTATTGATTCCTTAGTAGTAAATGAACCCTATCGATCAAGTTGTAATGCGTTGCTACTTTAGGTGACTCAACATAGAGTGTATTATGTTTGAATATTGGGTGGTTGGTGAGAGAACAGAGACCTTGGCTTTGTCCTGGTTGGGACTAGTCATCGAGGCTTACATGCAAATAACGCTCCTCCATATGGAATTTTAACCCACATCAGTCTGAGATGTTGGTACTGAGCTGTTCGTGTTTCGACAAACCTCCTGTAGGGCTGATGTATTTACATTGATCAATGAGCAGTAACCGAAATCATAATTGACTAGGCTTTAGTTCTGACCTGAGGTAACTAAAAATTTCAACGCTTCTGGTTTCCATCCAGATACAGGAAACGCTAAAGCAATACACGAGTTTTTGGGAAAACACGCGTTCGGAACATGATATATTACCTAGAAGCGGTACGAGAAAGAAGCATAAGATGGAATCCTATATTTAAATATGAGGGATAGGAAAAGCTATATTCGCTTATGATCACATTATTTTTAGCTTTATGAATACCTCGAAAATAATTTCCTTCACTTCTCCACACCAATTTTTGTCATAAGCTAAAAAAATGCGTCCTCCTCGTCCTTATTATATACCTCCAGTGGTTCGTTACGGTGACTCGTTTTCTGTTGTTCCGATTCATTTGTTTGTTACACATAAACCGAAGACAGAAATATGAAATATTGAATACTAGATCGATTACATGAAGGTTAGGCGCTTACCACGAGATATCTGACGGTGTCATACATGGGTAATGTTGAGGAGAACTATATATTAAGACACAACGGATACCCAGTGCTTTGAGATTTTCAATAGTTGTTTAATTAACGACAGTCTGTGATGTATACTACAAATGAACAATCTTCGCAAAATTCCTAAACTAGCAATTTATTAATAAACTAGGATAATAAACACAGATACAGAAAGATGTAGAGAATTAAAGCTAATAGATAAGAATGGAATACTTTTTTAGAGAATATACATATGATTTAACAGACAAAGAAAAGATACTACAATGGAATGAGAAAATCAGTAAAACAAAGTTGTGAAGCGAATGAAATATCAATTACTCCAATATATTTCAGCGAACAAGTCAATCATCCATCTAAACTGTTGAGGTTGTTAGTTCAAAAATATCCACCATTATTTACATGATTCAGACAAATCAAGTTCCAGCAGGTACGGTGTTAAATATGTTATGATAATTGATGCACCTACACACAAAATGTGAAAATAAAAAAGAGGAAAAATGTTTTTTAAGAAATACATAAGGATGTTTTTGATTAAAAACAATAAAGAAAATGAATATTACGAACAATCAATAAAAATCTTTGTTATGAAGTGTATAATAGTCTAAAAATGGTAACACTAACGAAGTTCATGTACGTGTGAACTAGTATGTGTAGAAAATTCTGTTGAAGTTAATTAGGTGGTCATTACAGTTGAGTTGAAGTTAAAATAAGGTAATAACTTTTAATTGTTCAGCATATAGCTAATGATCAAAACAGGTTTATGTTTACGGACTAATTTTTTGAAACAGGGGAAAGGTATGCACAGATTTGTGATTACACTCCAATTATGTTTCTTAACAAAACACCGATAACACTTTTGTAATTCGCACTTTTGGTACTGTACTAATTAATATATATCATTTAGGATAATTAATTTGTTACATAAATGTGCATAATGTGATAAAATGAAGTCTATCCGAAAAATGTAATTTATTTGCATTTTATGTTGTTTTTTTCATGAATAAATGGTAAGACATGATTACAGGTTATAATGAAACTAGTTGCCTTTTGGGATACGTTTTCTTCCGATGCAAATCATTTAAAGTTAACATCAAGTAAACCAATAAATTTGATTTGAATATCTATGGTCTGGTCAGTAGTATTTAGACAACAATTATTATGAATAGTTTACCAAGATGCAGAGAAAAGTTATATATAATTATAATCTACATCAAAAATATTTCTAATACACACAAGAAATATTGGTTAAAAGACTAATATATGAACGGAGAATATTCTCTTCAGGTTCTACAATTATACATCCAAATTAATGATCCGAAGAGTGGCCAGGTTTATGGCAAAGTACGACGTTGAAAGTTATAGCATGCGAACGGCGGAAGCAGTAGCCACTACGATGGATACAAAGAAATATCTTCAACTGCCTCTCCTACCTTGGCTTACCACAGAACCAATTAAATAATAATTATAGCTATTGAATGACCTAATTTGAGTAATGTACCTACAACCGTTCTTAGTCAAATACAATTGTCTGTTGTATTTATTCACATATCTTTGTATTATTAGTGGTTTAGCATTATTATTGTCTCGAATACATGATTCATTATGTTAGCATTCATTCCACATTACCATTTCTTATTAATTTCAAATTAAATTTTTACATAATATAGTCTTCCACTAGACATTTGATCGAATTTGTGATTGCACTATTATTTCTCTCACCTTATCTGACCCATATTTATTCCGATCATGAACAATCTTATAATTTTACTTAACGTATTAGCCGATGTAAGTTAACATTTCATATGAGCTATCTCAACATTAACAATTTTATTTTACAATTGTACATTTACATGTTATTACTGTAAACGATGTACTTTGCCCTAAATCTGACCACTTTTCAGATTATTAATTTGGATATACAATTTTGCAGAACCTGAAGAGGATTTATTGAAAAGAATATTTTTCGTTCATATAGTAGTCTTTTAAGATGATGGGGATTTTTAAACAATCAAAATATTGGTTACTTCATGAGCATAAGCAAAAATTGTCTGGTATTGAAATTTACCTGCACGACGGAATGCAGTCATCAATTCTAAGGCGGCTTGCTTTAAATCGATAGCTCCAGCATTTGCGGCATGTTTTAGCATTGCATATTCACCAGAAACATGATAAACTGCTAGAGGATGATGAGGTAGCTGAAATAGAAAGAACAGTACCAGTAATGAAATAAATTGTATATTTATGTAAGAGCTATTATGAGTTTTGTTTTAATTTTTCCTAGGCGTCTGAATAACTTTAGCTGGATATTAGCACGCTACTTGTACAGGTAATAATCGTCTCTCAAGAATAAAAGAACTATTTGTAAAAACAATTAGGGCATTTTGATAAAATGAGTGAGAAATTCATTCTGAAGTATAACCTATGCTGAGTAACTGTTTTGCTTCTTATATTAACTATAACTAGGTTGAGGAAAATCTATATGAATGTAAAGTCACTGCATCAGATTGTTGAACAGCGTGTGCAAATTCAACATTAGCGTTCAAAATCTTATCCACAGTAGTCTATTTTGAGCTTTATTTTTATGTGCTCTAATATAAACGCACTGCTAACTTTCATCTTAGTCTGTAAAATTATTATATGTGACCACTTGTTCTAACGTAATAGTCTTGAAGAGAGTCTGTAAGTACATCGGTTCAATTTGCCACAGCCCATTAGCACACCGAGATGAAGTTGTCAGGCCGAATACCAGAATAGTAGATGTAGTAACAGTATCAGTGGTGATAGGAAAGATTAAACATTGAAGATACGATTCAAGAAAATATAAATTAGTGAAAACACAAAAAAGTTATGAGGAATTTAGAATTTAAGGATTTGGGGAAAAACAAAGAATGGATACACCTGCAGCATCGCAAACGATTTTGAGCTGTTATTCAGTCTCTAATTATTGAATAATTTATAACTGTTTAAGTAAATTAAGATGCTCACTCTTTAACGATATTCTTTCCAAAATGGTTTTTCACACAGGAAAATTTACCCACTAATTTGCGGATAACTAAAAATTCTTAACTCATACTCAGAATGCTAAAAATGTATGCACATGTTTTAATTGTCAACTTCCGAATGCGATTTCAAACATGGGTATATCACAGAACATGCCAAAGGGTTGTTTGATCAGACGTTACGGCACAGAAAGTGTGAATCAATACAATTTGCTGTAAAACAAATGACTATTATCGTCGAAATACCAATGCTGCATAGACAGTACACCCGAAGAGTTAAGAAAATCATAGGATACATCAAACAAACACAACATGGGCATACCAACTGTCGTATCTCATTTACAATATCCAGATAAGGAAGACCAGGTTTTACCATTATGAAGTCAGCTCCTTCGTTTGCATCGCGAATCTGGAATGCGCAAACGTTAAAGAGAAAACAAGGAAATAAAAAACGTTAAGAGACTTTTCGCAGTAATTATACAACGTATTTAGTTTAAAAATGTGATGCAACTACTTAAGTGTCTCAACGTAGGACATAAATATTGTCATTGAAACTGTACTGTGTAACAAATCCAAAAAGAATGTACCATTAGATGGGTAAACTGATTGATTAGATAAACGAAGTTATGCTCTGTTAATATTAAATTCTCTGAAAATAAAAAAATTGAAGCAGTGTAAGGTATCTATAATTTAATTAACCATAGGACTTGATTATCAGTCACACTGTAAGTGTCTCAAGAGTATTCAATTTATTGCTGTTTGCTTAGTAGTTTATATAAACATTCCTTGACTAACGCTTCTGGGGGTATGTAGTCTTAACTTGTGGTAATTGGTCTACATGGCCAGTTATAATTACACAAAAATGATAATGACGCAGTGACCGCACAAAAATTAGATGCTAAAGCATATGACGATATATTTCCTCAATGTCATTAAACTATCATATTTAGGGGGTTTTATTTACAAAGTTTATGCAGGTTGAAATAGAAATTGTACCTTAACTTAAAATGAAAACTAACCGGTTTAAATATGCTTATTTTAATTTACTTTTGGTAATGAGAACCATATTACCTTTCATAGTTTGATGATATGTCTATAGCGCGATTGTTAACATCCTGTAGTATGACAAGTTAAACCGATTCGCTACTGTGTTTGATTCTACAGTCAAGTTATATGATTAACAGATGGGAATTGGTGAATCCAGTCTGAAAGTTAGATATGAAATCACTTCTAGTAAACTATAAACTATGAAGGACTTTTCATTTTATTGATAGATTTGAAGTAAAACAAACGTTATATTGAAGTAAAATTACGTCAAATTTCAAATTCAACACCAATTCATTTCAGAAATTGTCTATGAATTTAAACCCATTTGAAGTGACAGCTTGTTAGTTTGAAAAATGATCATCTAAGACTTACAGCAGCACGTAGAGCCAATCCCTTGGCACCAGGAGGAAGCTGATAATGCCGACGGTCTCCAAAAGAAGGTGCAGACTGAGCAGCATCTCTGAAACGTAAACGTATTAATTACATATCACTCTTAGTCATCAGTTCAGACACTATATTTTATGCACTAAAAATCGAAAGTTTGAAACCCACTTCATCAACTAGTCACTAAAATCATGTAATATTACAAACTCTTGTATCTGGATTATTACAAAGACCCATAATTTATTTATTTATTTGAACACATTAATATTGGTATAAGTGGGTACCAAGTATATATGCGCCACACAAAACAATGAGAACTCGAAGAGAAAAAACAGTTATCTGGTGGTAGAATTCATCCTTGATTGCATCCGGGCTGCAATCTGTCGGAGCATAGGCGGAGATGACGAAAAGACATCGTTTCTCACGCCGATTTCTTCTCACTTTGATGGAACTTTCTAATTTAACAGCACATAACCGACTGTTAATGGGGATCCAATCGATTAGTGCTGCCTCAGCTCTAGCGCTTAGTGCGACACCAACGCCAGCAAGACCAGACGAAGATGCCACAGAGTCCCCGGATAAGACCACGTAAAACAAGCTTTTCGGAGCGACAGATGGAGAGCAAATTTGTAGTACTTCACCAGAGTCTTGAATATGGGTCTCTGATAGACAACAAACATCGATATTAAGACTTTCCAAAGACATAACCAGCCCTATCTGTTGTCCGACCTGAATAAGTGTGAGAACGTTGAAGGCAGCCAGTTTGAATGGTGTACATGGTTTCAGAAAAACTGCTTCAGTACTCGTACTTGGTGGTAGCATACAATTTTCAACCAGGCAGTGACTCAAGAACGTTTAGACAGAACCGAGTTTCCACCATAGGCGAGCTGCTGTATAAGTTGAAAAATAAGGATACATAAAGTGGGAATAAAAGAGTGAATAAATGACGTAGTCAATAATAATAATAATGTGGATCGTTTGATTGTTAACCGAAGCCACACAAGTAATATCCATAAATATCGACATTTCATCATGTTTGTGTGAGGGCTGTGATATTGCTCGGGTGCCCGGACCGAAGCAGATGGTTTTCTTAGGGGGCCACACCCCAAGCCTTTGACCTAAAGGTCTGACCCACAAGGCAGTGGAGCATCGTAAGGAGATGCATTCCCATGGTAGCCGGTAACCGAAAATTGGTTCATACGCCATTCGTCCCCGCAGGATACTGGAGCCCATGTGTACCATTGGTTTGGGATCTGGATAAAGCGCCGGACATTCGCTTTTCGTCCTCTCATTTTCGTAAACAACACCCCGTCGCGAGAAGGCAGTGAGTAGGACTTCCCTAGCAGAGGCTGTATACGGGTGGCCGTGTGAGAGCATTTTGCGAGGGGGGGGTGCCCACCCCACTCTCGGCCATACTAGGGCATCTGGGGTTCAAAGACCCATAAGCAGTTATTGAGTTGGATTTTTCTTCCCTCACATGTCAACACGAGTGATTTCAATAAAGTGGCCGTGACTAAAATAAAGCTCTTATCAAAATAGAAAAGAGCACTCATTCAACGACTACAGCATCGAGATATAAAGCTAGGCCATTTCCAAAGAATTTTAACTAATAATCTCGTCCCGATGTTTCCAAGCTTTGGAAAAATACAAGGCTAGAAAAATCCTATACTGCTGATTTTCATCTGTGTCGTTAAATGAAGACTACATCAGGGCTTTTTTATTTTAGCTGATAGTACCAAACACATATACCATTATTCATCAAAATAAGTCACAAAACACAGAGGCAACACCTAACTGTCAGTAAACTCGACACCTTATCTGGGAGTTCTCAGTGTCTTAAACACACAAGTTTTTAGGTTACTCAAAAATTATTTTTACCTGAAAGGACCGTACAAACAAGATGCAAATTTGGCCGAATAAGACATAACGGCTACCTTCCCACTGAGACCAATACTTTGTATAGCCGTCTTGATTATTTTCACACGACCATCCATCATATCAGAAGGGGCAATAACATCAGCTCCTGTAAAACAAAGTAAGAGTAAACTGTATAACGGATGAGCATCTACAGCCTATTTAGACGTCAAAAACTAAATGACAAATCGATATCTGATAAGTATGAATAATCTAAATGAGCGTTTTTTTTCTTACAGAAGTGCTAGACAATGATGTTACACACAAAGAAACTTTTCGTGTTTTATAGAGACCATCTAATAAGAGAGCATATTAAGTCACAGTCGGACACTCCCAAAATCACTGTATGGATTACATTTAACACAAATGGTTGTACCACGATCTGGATTACTGATGCAGCTAGCTCCATTAGTTCTAATAACAGATTCTTCAGTGACTATTTAACTACCAAGACTATATTGACCAGACGTTCTATTTACTCTGAAGAGAGGTGGGAGAGTGTATTTCATGGGATTGATTTTAAATGGGCCTAAATCCTGAACATTTTCTTCATAACGAGGAAACCAAAACTCACCAAATCACCCAACGCTTTACTAGGGATCATAAAGAGTGAACCCGGTAAAACTAGGCTGTTTTTAGACCTGCAATTGGATGCGTTGACAAAATACTCACCCTTCTTCAGGTTTAAAAACGCAGACATACTTAGCGATATTGACCATAGCGGTGTATATTAATAAATAGAGATTATGCGACTCCGTTGACCGAGATTCTGTGAAAATATTTGGCATTGAAAGACGTACCGAATAAGTACATAAAGCTTGTGAAGACTTTCCACTTAGACACTATTGGTCGAGTTAGACGCTACGGTTATATGTAGACCTTAAGTGGTGTTCGTCAGGGTTTCCCACTATCTCAATTGTTATGTACGCTCATCATAGATGTCACTGGAAGTAACACTCTCTTCACCTAACTTTTCGTAGATTAGTACCTCAGGATGTTCATTTACAGACTCAGAGTACGCAGATGATGTACTCCTTTCTGGCGAAGACGCTAATAATATTAAGTCTTTCGATCAACTTGAGCAACAATGCTAGCGTGTTTAGGATGGGTTTCTCCCCCCTCCCCTAAGTGCTAAATGTTGCTTCAATACTAGTCTGTCTTAACGCCTCACTTAGTGATAGGGAGTGAAGTAGGTGAGTACGCTGATTACTTCACTTATCTTGGAGGTCTCGTCAGTCTTAGTGGGTTGGTGCCTAAACGAATCCCGACATGGACTCAAAAAACCCGGGTGGCATCTTCCATTTTGCGTCGCTTGTGATGTAGTAGAGGTGTCCGCTTGTGGACTAAATAGTGTACACTGTGTAGTAGTAAATAAAAAGCTATAGTAGACATATTCAGTTGTTGGGACAGCTTACTTAATTAATTCTGATTTATATGCTCAGATAGTATTAGTATTCTGGTATTATGTGGCCTTCATAATCCAGTAAGTAAACCAGTACACGACAGTTGCATTTAGTAAAAAGTACTCACCTTCTAGGGCAAATCGTTTAGATATTTCTGCTAAACGTTCAAGAGTCCTAGGTACGTCAAGGCACCCGTCATCACGTAAAATACCTAAATTATGTTTAAAAACAAATGTCACACAGTACCACAATGACCACTGTCAGTATATGCACACAAACAAACATCACAAATCACTATTAAATCCGGAAATTTTGACTTCAGCAACTTGATTGCCTGAATGACTGGTGAATTTGGTGTATCACAAGCTGATCCTGTAGCATCTTTTTGGTCTCTACTGATTGTCCCAAACAACAAAACAGATTTCAGTTGCTTGTCCACCAAAGGTGTTAAGAACTCGATGATTCGGTTGTATCCTATTCGACGCTGGTCTATCAGACTAGTAATTATTTTATCACAATCGGGGTCTTGGCTGAATGGATGAGAAAACAATATACTATACCTGAGGAAAATTGGATACACAAGATTCTCAGCACTGACCTTATAGTTTGCGGTATGCCACTGTCTGAACAACAAATTCGAGTATGATGAATGGAGGGGATGAGTAGAATGCATTACAAAGTAAAATACTTTGAAGCTTTTGATAGCTTTCAGTAGAAGTGAATTGGTTGTGATCTGCAAGATAAGAATAATAAAACCTGATTTATGAACAATTAAAAAAACAACCATAGTTATGAGCTTAATGAACCAACCATCTAGTAGAATAAACGACTATTTTAATCTTACATCTAAGCAATTGAAACGGTTGTTTGTGAGGATCTGCCACATACCAGACTGCGAAATGTAGGCATTCAGCGACCCTGTTTGTTAATCATAGACGACGAAACATGAGTAACGAATGATTGAAGTATCTCAACCACTTAAGGTACACAACCTTGCCATGAGATTTGTTATTCCTGTCTACTTTGCAAGTGTATTTGAATCCCGACACAATATTACGAAGTTATTATCACCATCTTCTATACATTTTCTTAGGGTGATATCAATTATCAAGGCGTGTACCATATGTAATATTTAAGTGCAATAGGTTTACACGTTGGTTATTACTCTAACCCCATGACAACCTATCTCAAAAGTTATCGAGTTATTGTGTGTAACATTTTTAAATTTTAACGCCATGAGATTAATTTGTAGCACTAACCAAAACCTTTCGTTAACGTACAGAATAAAGAAAAAAGCAAGCAGTAACCAACCCTGACAACTGGCTTCTGAACAAGGACGATGTGACATCATCGGTTAGGACGGTGGATGTTAGTTAAGAACATGCACCGTAGTGCATTATTTTGGTAAGTTGTGATTACGTAAAACATCTTTCAGATGACTTCCAGGTAGCCGAGGAATTGAAGGCAACATTTACTGAAGATCTCGGTTACAACTCACACATCCAAATGACACGCTTTCGTATCAAACTGAAAAGTCTAAGAGATAAATTGATAATTTTCTGCACTAAAGTGTTAGGGCAGTAAAACGAAAAATGAATGACTATTTGTACACGTCTGAAGAATTACAGGTAGCTGAAGTGAGGGCTGGATGCATTCTAGTTGTTATCAATTGTCAACATCTTGACTGGTAACTTCTCATCAATAGCTAAATACACCATTCCCCCTAACGGTGTTGCTAACGAGTAAGTTTTATTCATAAATTTTATGGGAATAGGTCGCACACTTGTCCCTTATCCACTAACTTTGAAAGCGATCAGTAATCTGTCGAATCATATCAATAAAATGAATGAGTACACGATAACCTCATCCACTGTTGTGTAGGACAAGAATAGTTGCAGGATTGCCTTTTTGTTTGGAATTTCCGTTAAAGAAACAGAACTTGACACTTTAGAAGCTGCATTACAAGGACAAAAATTTCTAACCATGGTATTGATTTTCACAATCAATCAGGACAATATTTCTTTATTAATGACAAGGAGAAGAAGCAAGTTTTAGTTATCCCTGGCAAATGGCTGGTGGCCAAGGAACATTATATTGATCGGGATGATGTGACAATAACCGAAATTCTTCAAAGTATTGGTTGTGATAGCGGCTTTACTTTGAGAAAGTGCACCGTACCGTATCGTTTCGGTAAGTTGTAACTACTTTTTTCATTGATTTCAGATGATTACCATGAGGTCGAAGAAATGAAAGCATCTTTCACTATAGCACTAGGTTATAATAACAAAAAGGCAACTGATGACACGCTACCGTGTAACTTAAAAACCGAAAAGGTAAATTGTTTGATGTACGCAATTCACTTATTGTCAGGACTGCAAAACGAACATCCAACGATTACTTGTGCACTACCGAAGAACCGGAGGTTGTTGAAATCGAAGTTGGGTGTGTATCATTGGACTTACTAGTGGTCAACGTTTTGACTGTAGAATCTTCACATATAGCGAGGTATGTATTTATTTAATAAATGCTCATAAAGTAATTCATTGAAAACAGAGGTTTTCTTAACACCGCTACCATGTACGTCAATGGAAGTTAGTGAAGAGTAAGTTGTACTTAATGTAATGGTTGCACAGTGTTGACAATAAAATGATGATGAAAACAATCAGCGATCTGTCTACAAAGATGGATAAAATGTTTGCTTGCGTGGAAAGTTCATCCATTGGTTTGAAAGAAAAGGTGCAGCGACCACATAGACACCTCGTCTCGCATTCCCATTACAAACACATGAGTTGCGTACTTTGGGAGTTGCTTTGCAGGAGTTCAAGTTTTGTAATCAGTTTGTAAGTGCTAACAGGTGTTTCAAAAAATTTTAGGTTGCCAGATTGCACGAGATCATGTGTAATGATCCCCGTAAACCAACCAAAGCATGTTTATGTTACTTGCTGTCGCCGGAAATGACTAACACATACACTTTACATGGAACTAATAGTAAACTGGGTATGTCACTACAGATTCTACCAGACGATTCAAAGCAAGTTCACACTACAGTATTAATATATTTGTAGGTGTCCTGCGTTCCCGGTTCTGAAGTACAACCTGTCCGGAAAAAAAGTAGCGCACGCCATGGATGTTGCAAGCCAGGCTTTCTTGCACGACGCAGGAGATGAAGTCAAAAAGCGTGGATGGTGATCCAAAGAAAGGGTGAGCTAAATGCGTTTTAGGTTTGTGACTAAATACTGGTTTTTGTTTTCATATTAGTTTGTGATAAACATTCATACTGAAACAATTATTTCTTGTCCATCTCATTTCCAGCTGGCTTCGCAAATGTTCACAAACGTAACCAAGTTTCGTATTCGGATTATTCACAATATTGTTCTACCGTTGGTATCTCGACAACGTTCTACATAACATTCAGGTTTTGATGACTGCCATGAAAGTTTTTTGGTTAACTAAGGAACAAACTTTCTTTCTGTAGAACATTTTGAATGGTAGTTCAACGTTTACGTAACGTACTTCCGGTACTAAGAAATATAAAGTCTATTGTTTATCAACAATTTTTAATTTATTAAACTTCAATAAACATTTAAATGTTACGAATCAGTCTTTTAATTTCAGAGATAGATCGATTGTCGTTAGGTTTCTTTGGCACTGTGTTCACTGTTCGTAATTGACAAGAAAAAATGGAATACCTGGGTAAAAACTTTTAGGTAGCTATTATCGACAGGCTTTTCCATGATATCTGTCGAGCAATGAGAAATAATGCGTTAAATGAAGACAGTTTGGATTATATCACTGAAATTGCACCAAAATTTGTGGTTTAGTAAATAAGTAGGGACGAAGTTCCCAAAAGCGTAATAAGATTCTGCGAAAATATTGGTGAAGAACCCGATGTTCAGGGGAGATTTTGGGTAAAAACTGGAAATGTACCCAAAATTGTGAAAAAAATTTGGAGTTTCGTGAACAAATACAGGCCGATTTCCCCAAAGTGTAATAAGATTTTGGAGAAATTTAGGGGAAGTCTTGGGGAAATTTCGGGGTTTTGATTACATTTGCCCGAAATTGGAAGATTCGGCTATTATATAAATGCTTGATACAATTGGCTGTCAGCCGTCTCATCTCGTTGTATTCAACAACATCAGTGTAAAACAAAAAGCTAACTCTAGATAGGCTGAACTGATGGGGTAATCTAGTATTTCGATCGTAACAAATACTCACCCTCTTAGTGTTATCTCGTGGTAAAAACGGCAAGGAAATACCCAGTTCAAATCAGCATCCTTTGCGTCTCCACAACCTTGAGAGGCTTGGCTCAAGGCGGGCATTCCATATATGAGTTGCTTGAGGCTGGTTGAGTGTGTGTTAGCTTGCATAGGTTTGTGGGTTTTGTGATCTGTTGACGTCCGATGAACTAAAAAGTGTTGTTTAAAACCAATGAAGGTACATTCTCTTTCTTTTCTCTAGCTGGAGCTCGCAGCTACTGGGTTTAGAACCCTCTGAACTTTAAAATGGACCGGAAGAGGTGAGAACTTTCACGTACATTGGCAGCATTATCGACAAACAAGGAGGATCGGATGCAGAAACAAAGGCAATGATTGACTAAGCAAAGCCGCATTCCTACAAATGAAGAACATATGGAAGTCAAGCACAACTGTCAACCAATATCAAAGTCAGAATCTTCAATACGACCGTCAAGACAGTTCTACTGTGCGGAGCTAAAACTTGAAGAATTTTCACAACCACCACCAAAATAACAAAAGTATCAATAAACTGTTATCTACGTAAGATAATGAATGTCCTTTGGCCGGATACCATGAGCAACAACCTACTGTGGGAGAGAACAAACCAGCTTCCAGCTGAAGAGGGAATTAGGAAAAGACGCTGGGGGTGGATAGGACACGCATTGAGGAAATTATCAAACTGCATCTCAGGCAAATGTCGGTTTCTAATCCTGAAGGTAAACGGACGAGTAAAGCCGAACATTACACTGCGTCGAGAATCGGAAACACACGTGAAAAGGATGAATAGCAACTGGAAAGGATTGCCCAGGACAGAGTTAGATGGAGAATGAAGGTGAGCAGCCTATGCTCTTCGACGAGGAGTCCCAGGTGTAAGTAATTTGCCTGTCAAAATTTCAGCTCGGGGAATGCTTTGGTTGATGTTAGCGAATTGTTTAGATCACTTAGACTGAACAAACGTTTCTTGGTTAAGAATGACATCCAGAATGCGTCCAATGAATTTCACAGTGTATGATATATAACTTTATAGTTCTGTAGACGACTCACAATTGTAGCATTTAGTCTGTGTCAGGCCCATATGAGCTATGCTAGCTCCAGACAGATCGGTTTATTCTTCTTGAGTGACATTATTATTCGCTTATTAGCCTTGACTGATTTTATATGAGCGTATGTGTGTGTATCGCTTACCCTAGTCATGACACGTCTTTAAATTATTATTATCTACCTATAGATATTGGGTTACGCTTTAACAAAACGAGTTGACTCTTTACCTTTCTTCGCCGTGCTCTCCAATTTTCCATTTCGGATCTATTTGGATACACCACTGCTTGAAAAAAGTTTATCCTACGCAACCTGTATTTGGCTTATTATTACAGCCGTCACATTAAAGGGATTTGCTTAGGTGTAATAAACGGACTTCATTGAAAGATTTATATTCATAGCATATTCATATTTCCATCAAAGTCGGAGCCATGTCATAGGGCTAACAATCACCAACTGTATGAATAAAATGGGTAGTGGCAATAGAAAAATATAAGTTTGTTGTACTAAAATGTGGTTAGTGTTGAGTGAAAGCCTCAGAGAAATCGAGTTGTTGATAAACCGTTGGAACTCTAAATAATGGGTTATACTGTAGGTCAAAGTTTTGTGATGTTTGTACACAACGCTGCTTCCTTTGTGAATTGTTTCGCGGTTGATTTAAGTTGGGAATACTGCACTGTTTAGCTATCTGCTTCTAGTTTCGATTTCAGGATTGTCTTAGTTTTGCGCTTATGTTATTTCTGGTTGTTTTCCATTACTTTCTTAATTAAAAGTAAGTGAATTGTGTACGCTTGCTGGGTCTGAATCATTCTCTCTTTTTGCTCTTCTATTTTCCACCCTCTTCACTCACGCTAATCTGCATGCTTCCTTGCACACAAAGTACATTCAAGCTGGACTCAAATTACTACACATACAGTACCTTTGACTGTGCTCACTGATTTCTCTCTGACTTGTATATATGTGACTAAAAGATTACGAATTGAACTGTTCTTAGTATTAATAGTTAGCATACAGAATTCGATTACTTCTAGCGATAATAGTTTCCCGAAACGCAAGCCAACATTTCATTTATCCTAGGATCCTAACGGATTTTTCATAACTTCTTTCAGGATGATTCAAAATCATCCATGTGGTTGCTCATGGGTGGTTAGTTATACATGATCTAGGAGCTTATCATAAGTGCAGAAGGAAAATCTGAGGACCTTCCCGTTGCAATAGTCAAATTCTGGCAGTGTAATAGAACACGCGAAATCGTACACTGGCATGGAAACAACCGTTACTGATTTAAAAACAGTGAGAGTAGCCATCGGTAGGTGCGTACTATTATATTTTCAGGTTGCGGCTCACGGCTGGAGGTCATTGGTATACTACGATGAAACGAGGGACTAAGAGAGTATTGTAATCATAGTGGCAACGTCACCGAATCTGTTGATGCAGTTTTGGCTAGAAGTAATTTGTGTTGATACAAAGTACAATGCCAACAATCGGAAATGAGAATGTTCTATAGTGAATGTTAGTGTGTAGTTACTCGCTATTCTAACGCAATCACAAATGACCGTGGCTGAGCACATTCAGTAATGTTTGCCTGGACAAAAAAGGAATTCACTGAAGATATCGTACGTATATTGAATAAATTTGCTGAACTGGTAGAAGGTTCTCTAATGACTGGAGCTTTCGTAGTGGACTGTGCACAGCTTGAAATCTTGGCTTCTAGACATTCCAACGTAATTCTTTGCACTTTTCATGTATTGTGCACTTTGAAAGATGTTAAACTCATAAGTCCTTTGATAACGTTGCTTGAAGTTAGAAAGTCGTATTTCGAAGGTTTATCACTGCCTGTTGGTTCGGGCCGAGATAATGTTTGTAACTCACTTATTTTGTAGATTTGATGAATATTTCAGGATCGTTAGCACAAGGGGTAGACGTACTGACTTATAACTTCATAGGCTAACGTGGCCAAGCCAACCTTTGACCACTACCAAAATCATCTCATGTGGGACAGTAGAGTTCCGTCTGAAAATATGCTTCTTAGCTATATCCACTATCTCAGTAGCTTCTGACAGGAAGTATGTTGCACACAAACAACATTGACACACCAATATGAATTTTCACCATCTTTTAGGAGACGAATATATTAGATGCTTCATTAAAGTGTTGTATCATGCCAATAGGCCATTTTATTATGGCTAAAAATCGCGTGGAGTAATGACATCACAGGAGGTTTTACATGTCAGGAAACCTGAACTACAGTTTTCCGTATAGGTCTACTCACAAAGCTTTACACCGTCCAGTAATCAGGAGTAAGAACACCTTTAGCTTCGTTAGTGGCCTACAAAAGCTTTCAGTTGATGCTCACGCCCATACAAATAGATGTACTAACGAGATTATGAAAGACAAAGCAAGTTTATTATGAATCTTCTTATTTAAACGACAGGAAAACTAAAAACATACATATGAAACTAAATAACTGGTAGCAAAAACTGCTGTTTTTTCTAAAGTAAAACGTTCTGCCATATGGATTTGTAACAGAAAATACCTGCAACTGAAATGCCAACCGTCGAAATTTGGTTCATCCTGTAATATTCTCCTTCAATGGTAACTCAACATCTAAACTGCCTATTTTCAACGCAACTTAGAACCTTCTTCTCATACTGAATGCTAAGAACACGGATTTTTATTCACTAATTTTATGAATCAGCGGAATTATTCACAGACCTAACATCAGTTGTTGACAAATAATAAGTAACAAATCATCAGAAAGCACACTTGAAGTACTATTCGGTCGTGTCGTATAAGGTTTCCATTTGTACTTTTACCGGCGAATCTAGATGCTTTTAGTAGTAAACGGTGTAAAAATGGAATTCATAATCTATTCTCCAAATAAACACTTCACGAGTAAATATTATTTGAGTAGACAGTTGGAATAATGGAGAAACTCACTACTGTCATCATGATCATTCACATGTCAGTCTCCAAAATACATGAGGCTACTGTTACTGAAGACCGTCCCTGGATAAAAGCCCAAAATTTGGTGGTGGAATATATAAATAATTATACCATCTTATAAGGAAACAAGGTCGTTTGTAATAATCATGCCTGAAATAGTTTAACTAATTCCTTATGTAATAAATCTGTCTAACCAACTGCGCTACGCTAGTTCTTGGGTTTTCACCCAAAATAATTTTAATATTTCGCCGAAGTCGCCGAAATATCTCCAAAAATGGAAGATTAGGACGGCTTCAAAGTTGAAAAAGATCCCTCTAGAAGTGAATGAGCTAGTGATGCGAACGTCTATAGACACTCGAACAGGTACACTTTAGTATAAGGAAACACCAAATGAAGTAGATGATGCGATGTGTGAAAAAGTTTAAAAGGCTCGTAAAATCAGTGAAAACACCTTAGCATACTGCTTAAAATGCCTAAAATGGTGGTGGAAAGGACAACTTTTTGCCATCCAGTGAAATTATTTTATCGAATGTATCAAAAACTAATTCTCTCTATGTTGAGCACATACGACAGGCAAACTAATGTCGCTTCAAAGTCTTAGCCATAACCCCTTAATTGAGACAAACCCTTACTTCATAACTCAATGTTTTTTGGAGGACCTAATGAGGTAGATTATCTCTGTGAAGTTCATTCACTAGGATTGCCACATAGTATCTTCGCTTTACAGACGATATTATTTCATGATAGAAACCCTAACAACAGCCCTTAGCTCAGAACTATATGTGGAACCTGAAAAACATGTTTCTGTCTGTTAAAGGGTTAGAGAAGATAGGCAATTATTATCTATATAGGCGAGTTTACATAACTGTTATTTCTCTCTACAGGTAGAGAAACCTATAGGACCATCAAGTGTGTAAAATCTGTTTACATTTTGTAGTATTCGTTCTCTCTCCAATAGACTATTTGGTTATACAAACTGTTCATTAACTTGCTTTGTGGTGCACTCGAAA